CTCTCTCTCTCTCTCTCTCTCTCTCTCTCTCTCTCTCTCTCTCTCTCTCTCTCGAATTTTTACGAATCCTATCTCCCGGCGTGCGTTTCTTTCTATCTCTCTCTTTGCACGAGCGAACGCGCTCCGTATAGCCGTTATCGCGTGCTTACTCGACGTGTTTGTCGATTATATTTACAGTCGAAGGAATCTTCGTCGGTACTCAGCTGCGACATATCGACGGACGACAAGTATATAGTCACTGGCTCCGGCGATAGGAAAGCCACCGTCTACGAGGTTATATATTGAGCGCTGTCGCCGTTATCATCATCATTGTCATCATCATCAGCCCAGCGACAGTTCAAGGAAGAAGATGTGGTTAGAAAGGGAGCGCTCTCTTTTTCTACCAAGTAGCGACATTATCGACGTTGTTCTTGTTGTTACAATGTCGCTGTTCTTGTTATTTGTTTAATGGCGAGGAGGAGAGGCTATGGCGGCCGCGTGTCGCAGGCTCGAAGCCGGGTCGTAGTAGACACGCGCGCGACGTGTGTTTCCTCCGTTTCCGCTAGTCGAGATCGTTCGATCCATCGAGCGAGACGCATATTCGCGCGAATAAATGAGTGCGGATTCACGTGTGTATACGTTTGTGCTATAAAAAAATATACGCCAGATACATGCTACCATGCATATATTTATATGTACTCGTATTTGTCGAACGTTTATTCGAGAAAATACGATTTACGTAGATACACGTGTTCAACACAAAGTTATATTCGTTCGTTATTCGCGAATTGTGTAACTGTGCTAGTCGCGTCGACAACAGTATATAATGCCTCCCTCCCCTCCCTCCCCCTCCGGTGAGCTCATGTTTCGTGGCGGAGACACGTGACTATTTCTCCAATCTTTTTCTCTTGTACTTACGATACGTAACTGCCGACTGTTGTTGATTCCTTCTTCGGGCAAAGTTTCCGTCCCACTCCGGTATATTCGACTCCCCCCCTCTTTGATGACCCCTTTGTAATTATAGTCCTGTTATAGGCCCGTCTGTAAATTGTGTAAATAGCAAAGTTTTAAGTGATATCATTATATTTTTCTACTTCCCTGCCACCCCCAGCCCCACCCCCCAAGAGAGTGAAAGAATGGTGGATGAGGAAGGAGCTTAAGGAGAGTTACAATTGTATATTTCGATCTGGAAAGATTGACGAGTGACGAGACGAGAGTCGATAAATAAATGGCATATAATAATCAAAGAATTTTTTGGTCTTTTTCTTGCCGTTTTTTGCCCGATTCCATCCCCCCCCCTCCCCCCAATTAATTCCTCTGTACACCGTGCGGGATTATGTCAAGTATTATCTCTTTTTTTTTTTTTCGTTGCGCGTAGAACGCGCGCATAAAAACGTGAAAATTTAGTAATGCGGAACGCAGGCCGGGATGACCTCTCGTTTCCCGTTTGAAAAACGAAATGACTAGTGGCCAGCACGCCGATAAAAAATCGGGACTGCGCACACAACGGGCAGGTGTCGGCGGAAATAAAAAACAAGGACCACTCGTTACTCTATCCACGTGAATGTTGTTAGCGCCAAAAAAGAGGCATCAACAATATTTAGTTGCATGCCGGCGCAGCGGGCAGCGGCGGATCGTCATGAAAATTACGACACTATTTCGCCCCGATAGAAAAAAAAAAGAAGGGAAAAAAAGCCGCCACCGCGCGGCATGCTGACGGTTTCGCGATTGTCATGAAAACAAATCGGAGCGAACTCGACCTCCGCGCGAGCGCGCACACATACGCGTACCCCGTACGCGCGCGTGATCGGTCATATACGAGTATGGAAGAGCGAAAAAAAGGGGGAGAGAGGCGGGAGGGGGCAGAAAGAATACTCTCGCCGATAGCCAGGGCGATTGTATTTACGCCTTCGCGTCGAATCGCGGCTCCGACGATTCCGACATCCGTGCGAGTCGCGCCACCCGGTGTATAATTAGCGAGGCCATGCATGCGCGCGTTCAATGGAAGGTTCATCGGCGTAATGTTGTTATAATAGTGGCACGTTTTGCATATGTGACCGGTTGGCTGGCGGGAGGTGACGAGGGGTCGAACGGCCGGTCGGCCGATCGGGTGGAAGAGTCCCGAGGAGGGGGAGGGGGAGCAGGAGGCGTAGGTGGGGAGTAAAGTCGGGAAGGGAGAGGCGACGATGACGGGGAGGGGTGAGAGAGAGGGAGAGTGATTTTACGCGGGTTTTGCCGGGCGTATTTGCATGGTAATGATATGCGGTGCGTGTGCGCAGTGCAGGGGATGACACGGAAAGAGGGTGGCATGAACGAGAGCGAGATAGAGAAAGAGAGAGGCGGAGGCGACGACGGCGGCGGTGGTGGCGGCGACTATTGGAGCCGCGAGATTTGTATATCGCGGCTAAATGCGTCGGTTATTACGGTTAATTCGACGACGAGCCGGCAGGTACGCGTACATACGTGCGCGAAGCGTATTACCCTCCCCTCCCCTTCCCTCTCGCGCTCCGCTCTTTGTCTTCCCTTCTCTCTCTCTCTCTCGCTCCTCCACCGCACGGTTTATTCACGCCGGATTATTCGCGTACGCGAACTTATCGCGTCGCGTTGCGCGCGTGACGGCCAATAATAAAATACCCGTGCGATAACACACAGCGTGATCTATAAAGAGGAGTCAAGGGACTCGGGGAGGGGCAGCGGTGGTTTATACAGTGCTCTACGTAAAAATGGAGCGGTGAATCGCGCTTTTGTCTATCATAGTCCGCGTTGATTAAACATTCTTCATTCCCGCGAATACCATTTGCCTCTGAAAATATCCAAACTTCTCTTTTTTTTCAGAGCGCACCGCGATAAAAGCGGCCGATCGATTCGGTTTTAACTCTGTTTTGTCTTCGTATTTATTCTGGTGCACACGAGCGTCTTTTTTTTTATTTTTTAGAAAGGATCGCGTGAATTTGCGTAGACAAGGTATGCACTGCGATGATTAAGCCGCGTCGTCGTCGTCGTCGTCGTTGTCGTCGTCGTCGTCGTCGTTGTCGTCGTCGTCGTCGTCGTCGTCGTCGTCGTCGTCGTCGTCGTCGTCGTCGTCGTCGTCGTCGTCGTCGTCGTCGTCGTCGACGTCGACATCGTTGTCGGGCCCACCTACGCGATCCAACAGTTGGTGGCACTCATACACAAAGAGCTAATTTTCCCTCTGTCCGTCGCGCCGGCAACTCTCTGCGGCGCGGCGCGCACACAACGCGGCAAATTAACAGCCACGCAAATGAGCGAGTTCACGCGCTCGCTTTCGCACTGGCCCCCCGCCTCTCTTCGTCACAATTGGACACTAATAAACGCGCCAACGTGCTCTCTCTCCCTGTCTCTCTCTATCGCACCACCCGTTATCCCGTGCCCTTCCGTTCGCCCTCTTGCACAAGCCACCTTCCTCCTCCACCTCTCTCCCGCATGACACGGCGCGATGTCCATCCGCGTCATGACTGCCGCGTGCGCGCACGCGGAAGTATCTCGTCGAGATCAAACCGCGGACGAAGATGCACCGCGCGATAATCGTTCTCGCGCGCGCGAAACCAACCCGATCCACCACCCATGCCTCCGCGCCGCCCCTCTGCCGGCGGCGCCTCAGAAACGAGGGACGAGGGGAGGTGTGATATTTCGCGATTTCACGTCGGACGCACGGTGCATCGAAACGCAACGAAACGCGGTCAGCTCGTTAAGCCGTCTCGCGATCGCGCTCGCGCAATTATCGTCTCGACTTCAAAATTAGCGCGATAAGCGAGCGCAGCGGCGGCGGCGGCGACATTGCGGGCTACCTGTCGTCGTACATGCACGCCGCTGTGCTACGGAGGTGGAAACGACCTGTCGGGAGGCGAGAGGGTTGCAGGGGGAGAGAGAGAGAGAGCGAGAGAAGCGACGACGAGGGCGAGAGAGGGCGACGGCGGCGATGGCGGTTATCCAGATAGCAGATAGCTAGGACGGCGGTCTCGTTTGCGGCTTGACCACCCTTGCGGCGCACTGCCCTAACCGCCCCTAACCGCCCCTAACCACCGTACCGCACCGTCCGCAGCCACATGGTGTGTGCAACCGGCGATAACGTCGCCCTCTCGCCGTCCGTCGCAAGCCGATGCGTGTCGTTGCGCCGGCTGGCTGCACGCTCTCGCGAACGATCTCTGCACGCGTTCGTTTCTGTCCGTTCATTCGTTCCGATCACACGAGCATGATGTCGGACATACAACAAGGTGTCGAGCCTACGAGCTAGCTCTCGTCTGTGGAAATTTGCCGAATAACTCGAGTTCCATCTGTTCCCGAAGTGAACGACGGAGAATGCGGAGAGCACGGACAAGAAACGAGTGAGCCGTTAACCTGCTACATTGAGAGTCTTAAGTAGCCAATAGCCGGGCGGTACAAATGCCAGTCAGAGTGAAATCAGCCCCGAGTTGGACAAATCGTCCGTCTTGTCCAAAGAACATTTGTGTCTGAAAAGATCAACTTCTTTTCTTTATTTTTTGTCTCACGACACGTTTTGCGGGTGATCCGATGTTTCGCAAAGAAATCGATCAGGGACGAACCTAAAAGTTTCGCCGAACGGTAAAACCTTGACACTCCGAGAGCTGTTTGCACGTTGAGAGACGCGCATAAAGTACGAGTGTCCTCGCTGCTTGCGGCTAGTCGAACAAAAATAACAGTCGTTTGTTAACCAACGGAAATATTACGAGCGGGGACGACAAAGCTCTGCGCTTTAATGACTCGAAGGTATCTCTCGAGAGCCGTCGCGTTTTCCAGCGAGCGAGACGAACGCCCGGCTCAGCCGGCATAATTGAAATCCTTGGGATTTTTCGGCTATCTACCATCGGCGTTCCTTTTCCCTACTCACAGAGATTGGCTCTCGGCGGGCCGTCGTTAACCGGCCGATTCGTCGGTCATGCGGATGCACACGGATAGAGCTACGGCAATAATGGGTAGAAACGTTTCATCCTTCTGGGGTGCGCGAGGCTCTCTCGCAGCGAACGGACAGATTCCGGTCGTAACGAACGAGATCGGAGGACGCGAGAGCGTGTGATCGTCTCTAATTGTTACGAGGCGGCGGCGACGGCGGCGGCGGCGGCGGCGATGGCGACGGCGGCGAACGTCGGCCGACACACTCGTGCGAGCCGATGCAGCCCGGAGGAGTGACACACACGGCTGGTGATTCGCAGTTGCGAGTCGCGTCAGATGATTGAGGAGCGCGAGTTGCATTCGCGCGATTGCCAAGCGATTCTGACTTTCCTCGGAGTCGCCGAGAGCTTGGCCGGTGCAAACTCATCGTACGAGTTGGAACATTTCCTCTCCTTTTCCCCGCCCCGCAGACGAGCGCGATTGTTCCGTACTCGGGGATTATCGATATCGGGAGACTGTGACGCGGTAAAACGTGACGTAATTTCGCCGATTTCCAAGAGTCACCGCGCCAAAGTCGCATCTTCCGCGAGAGATACTTTCCAATTCTCCGAGGCGCATCCTCTACACGTCGGACACCGCGCATCTTCTTTATAACGGACGTGTCCTAAATACACTATGCAAAATACGACAAATATCGCGTACACGCGAGCGGACACACACGTACAGCGACGGCGTGTGTGCTTACATGTGTACGGCCGGTGCAGCGACGTACGTATGCGCATGCATACATCGCGTAACCCCTAGAACGACAGCGGACCGTGCCTAACAAACCGCAACGATAGCTACCAGTCGTCGTCGCGCACGGTCCCGTCCCATGACGTTGCACCACGCGTGTACATATGCGCGTCGTCGTCGTCGTCGTCGTCGTCGTTGAATATTTGAGGATCGGCTTCTTCGCGTTCTCCCGCGACGCGACGCGACACGCGTTCGCTCTTCCGAGATTGCTCCTCTTCCGTATCGTACTCCTCGCGAACGGCTAACCGCGTCATGCGCAAACCGTCGTCGTCGTCGTCGTCGACGACGACGACGAAGCCAAGACGGCAGCGGAAAAGAAAAAGAGAGAGCGGACGACGACGTCGGAACAGCATGATCATGCGCGTATACAGGCGGAAGAACGACCGGGGAGGAAACGCGAGAAAGAGAGAGAAGGGCGAAGGGAGAGAAAGAGGGACTTGTGAGATAGCCGTGCGGCCGACACATACGGTAGTCGCAGATCGGCGAGGTAGACAAGGGGCTCGAGCAAGCAAAATGGAGGGCAGGCGAGCGTGGAATATAAAAGGAGGAACGTGAATTCATATCTCGTCCGAGGGATCTCTCTCGC